TCCCAGCCGAGGCCGACTCATTACATCTTGCGGAGGATCGCTCCGCTGAACAAAATAGTTCCGCGGTTCAGTTTGCATGTGCGGGTTCGCGTTTTCAGTCGATGTCATTTTTTAAAAATATTTCACGGAAGCTGGTTCCTAAGTGCTGGCTTTCGCAAGTCGGGTGTTCATAATTCAAGGACTGCCTGTACATATGTAAAGTGGGTTAAGGTTAAAAAAAAAATGTCATTGTATTCCGTGACCTGTGCCCTTCTCGTATTTACTCGGAGACAAACTTGCAGTGCTCCCAACATTCCCTGCGCTTCATTCCCGGTCGACATCGTAACGACTCCGTCGGCGGCGAATGCGAGACGGGTCAAGTTTTCATCCGTTCAGAATTACGCGCGCGGGTCGCGGGGGTCGTGGGTCGTGGCCGTGACCCCCACCAGGACAAGCGGACTTGAGAAACGAACGGACGTATTTACCCCTTTTTTTGTTTCTCCAATCCGATTTGTTGTCTAATGCTGTTGCGAATAACTTTGGGGAAAGTGTGCCACCTTGCCTGGCTCCCCTATCAATAGACATGTTTGTATTTTCTTCATGCAATCTTCCTGTCGCTGGTCGATATGTGTAAATGGGTTGTATTTTTGGATTCTGTCTGCAAAAAAAAAGAAATGTAATAACAGGATGGTATTCCCGGAGAGAAAGATGTTCAAGTTGTCTTCGCATTTTACCAACGTGTGGTGAAATTGAAGAAGTGCTTCAGGGAAACAATGCAGTGGTGCAATGTAGTGTCGAGGTTATTGTGTGGTGTATGTTCGTGTAGCCGTGTAGTGTGGTGGTGTGTAGTTTTGTGGTGTAGTGTGTTGGTGTGTAATGTTGTCGTGTCGTGTGATAATAGTGGTGTAGTATAGTGGTAGTATTGTGGTGTAGTGTGGTGGTGTGTAGTTTTGTGGTGTAGTGTGTTGGTGTGTAATGTGTCGTGTGATAATAGTGGTGTAGTATAGTGGTAGTATTGTGGTGTAGTGTGGTGGTGGTGGTGTATATTGGTGTTGGTAGTATAGTGGTGCAGTGTAGTGTACATATGAGTATGTGTGTATAGTATGATTATGTGGGGAGCGGTAACGCAGTGGCTAGCGCACTGAGCTACGAACCCGGCGACCCGAGTTCGGTTCCCGCTCATGGCCAACGCCATTGACGATTATTTGAACCGATCCTGGGCCTCCCCTCGGTCAACTCAGCGTCAAATGATCGTCACTAGGAAGACAAAGGCAGTCCGGCGTGGGGCTGGGCACCCACCACCTCGTGCGTCGTGCCGGCCTTCATAGGCGCTGCTACTCGCTAATAGCGCTTGCTTCTACAATATGTGATCTTTAACAGCATCTGTCTGTATGCATGTGTGTGCATGCACAACAAACATTCACTCCAAAAGTTATGTACAGTGGCACGAAAAGATGTTGTATGGCGCAAAACACTTTTTTAAGTCGTCAGATAAATTGAGATGACGTGCAGGAGTGAGGTGGACTTCAGAACCACGAGGGATGGTGATGGTGCAGGGGAGGCCTTCATCCAGCTATTGATAGAACACGGGTGCTATTGTTGCCGCAGGTCCTCAAGAAGTGCCTTGTGGCCCCTCGTGTCAGTCAGTCACATTCGCCGAAACGTATGGCCATGGGTTTTTTGGCATTATTTATTGCGTTTGACTGCCGTTGCCGATCGCGTGATCCTTGACTGTTACCGCATCTCTAATGCCGTGTTCCCCCACGAACTTTTCCAAACTTTCAGATTACATAACAAAAAAACCTCACGAGTATTCCCCGCATGCACTGGAAGATGCCTTCTTATCTGGCCTCTTAAAGGGCAGCTGTTCTCCGCTCGGTCAGAAAGGTTATTACTCCCGCCACGGGCAACCGTCTCGTAACGCTCGAGTTGAATTGCGTTTTCTTCCACAGCGGCTGATCGCCGTGGTTGTAAATGTTTGTCAATGTGCCCCAACTCCTCGCCTCTGCCATAGAAGTTGCAGCTCTTTTAAGTTGCGTGGGTGGGGCTGCAGGTGTGAGCGAGTCTTGGAGGTGTGGCACACACATCATACCGATTCTTACTCCTGTCGGTGTTGTGCACCGATGATCACTCACTCCCGGTGTTGTGCACCCAGACCCCAAAGGGCCAGTTCTTACATATGAGAAAGATGAACTCAACACAAACTGTGCTCCTCACAGAAATTAGAAGCAACCAAAACACGGTACCAAGCCGTGCCTAGTAAGTGCAAAAGGAAGTTCGTTCGTTTCTCAGTCCGCTTGTCCTGGTGAGGGTTGCGGCGGCAGCATGTTGAGTAGTGACGGTCCAGACCTCCCTTTGCCTGGCGACAGAAGAATTTCCAGGCGTTCCCAGTCCAGCTGAGCGACATAGTCCCGCCAGCGTGTCCTGGGCCGGCCCCGGGGTCTTCACTCGGTGGAACGTTCTGCCCGGTAGAGTTCCAGGGGGCTCTACCTGGGGGCATCCTCACCAGGTGCCCAAACGATCTCCATTTTTCTTTCTTTGTTCATGAATCAAAGGCAGATGACGAGCTTGCAGTGGGCATCTACCAATGTTGTTCCCGTGGTCGCAGGACATTTTTCTCCGGGTCCTCCAGTTCCACCCTCCATATTTAGAATCAACATCACGCGTTCAGGGTTATTTGGCTGCTATAAATGTCCACGTGATAAGCCACTTCGTTGAGGTATCATTTGTGGCCAGGCCGCTTCTTAAAAAGAGCTGTGTAGCTCAGTGGGCCTTACCTGGTAAAATAGAAAGCTTAGTTACAAATGCTTGAGAGAGATATAGCGACTCGTCAACAACCACCGTCATTTCCAGTGCATCGAGTTATGAGGAGAAAGTCACGATGTACCGCAATATCGACTACATAAACTACTTTGAAAGGGTAGAGGTCAACTTGAAGTGGTTAGGGCAATATCTGTTTGACTGTTTGCCAAAGGGGCTGGATTTAACAAAACAAGTCGAAAATAATTTGAATGCACGTGTGAAAAATAGTAAAATTGTCATAATGGTATACCTTATCAGTGCCTACCTTATTACAGACCAATTCAGACCGTATTGGTCACCCCGTGCCCTTATAAATCTCAACGTTCATCCTAAAAAAGTCCCATCACAAGGGAGAAACACAATTAAATTGACAAAAAAAATTGTGCCCGTTTTGAAACGGCTGTATGCCGTATTGGCCTGAAAACCCAATTTCCCTGTACAAGAATACGGGGTAAACTGTACGGGTTGACAGGTATGTAATGGGATAAAGTAAATGACGTGGAAGTTCAGATTGGAATGGCAATAAACGCCATTGCAGATGTATTCAGGAAATAAATGAGGTTGTAATGGGTGGGATAGATTTAGATTGGAGGAGGGCAGATGTCCAAGTGGCACCCAGAGGTCAGCGACCGTGGGGGGGGGGGGCAGAGCCAGACGGTGGTGCTGACGAGACCGTGACCCCGGGAGGTCAGGTGGTGACTTCACGACAAGCGGAAGAGCTGTGGTGGGTGTGTGCCATCACCAATGTTGTCTGTGGTGCGACTTCATAACCTGGACTCTTGAGTCTTTGGTTGGCACAGCCCAACATCCCTCTGGGGTTCATCAAAGAAATACTGTACAACTCTTTGGGAAGTCAAGGGCGGTTAGTTCCTGGATAGATTGGCCCACGCTGTAGAAATGTTGATAAGAACTGCCGCAAGCTCATATAAGCAGGCCGACACCGGCCGCCGTATTATAAGCAAGCGTAAGACCGCCCAGTATGAGACGACTGGAGTCACCGTTTTAGTTCTCGGAGGAGCTCTTTTTCCGATAACGATTTTGCCGCTGCTAACGACTTAGAAGGTTGTGAACCCGTACCGCTGGCGGGACGATCTGCCGACGCAGTCACCAGACGCTTCGGTGGTGAAACGTCGTCGACACCCACCGCGCAAGTGGCCGAATGCGTGCGACATCGTTAAGAATGCTGTCGCGAGAAAGGCTGTTGGCTACGTACGGTGCGAAAGAAGTTCAACATACATGCATTCCGAACTCAGTGGATTAGTGATTCGTGGATGCATTCTGCTTTGTAAAATAACGGAGTAAAATGAGAATTACAAATCAGGTGTTGCCTGTGTGACTCCAGTGTGAATGTCATTCGTCAAATAACCTCTGTTTGTAAATGGTACTCTGATGTTGCCGTGTTGGTTTTCTCTCTCCCTCGGGTCCCAATGTCACGCCCACCCCCACACCCACCCACCACACACACCCACCCCACACCCCACCCACACACACCCCCCACACACACACCCACCCCCCACACACACCACACCCCCCCCCCACACCCACCCCCCACACGCACCCACCCCCCCACACACCCACCCCCCCACACACCCCCCCCCCACACACAACCCACCCCCACACAAAACCCACACATACACCGCACACCCACCCACACCCACCCCACACACACCCCACACCCACCTACACCCACCCCACACCCACCCACACATACACACCCACCCCCCCCACACACACCCACCCACCATACACACACACCCAACCACCCCCCATACCAACACACAAACCCCCACACACACACACCCTACACACCCACACACACACACCCACCCACTCCCCACACACACCCACCCCCCACACCCACCCACCACACACACCCCCCACACACACCCCCACCCCCCACACACACACCCCCACACACACCTCCCACACACACACCCACCGCCACACACACTCCACACACACACCCACCGCCACACACACTCGACACACACACCCACCCCCACACAGCGACACACACCGCCCACACACACCCCCACACACACCCCCACACACCACACACACACCACACACCCCATACACACCCCACACACCCCACCCACACACCACACCACACACACACACACCCCACACACATACACACACACACACAGACCACACACACACACACCACACACACACACACACCCCCACACATACACACACTACACACACTACACACCACACACACCACACACACACACACACCCCCACACATACACACACACACCCCACACGACCGTCCGCTGGTTACGCGCTGGCCTGGCGCGCCCCGCGTCCACGGCACACGAGCAATCCCTCTCTGTGCTTTACGATAACTTTACAATCCTCTCACTTGGACACGTTTGCTGAGCCAGTTTATTATTATTATACGTGTGGCCGTCTTTTCAAGCAATATCGATTTTTGAACTCGATCAAAAAAATATTTCATTAGTTGTAAAACAAACAAAAAACAACGACGACGTCAGGTGAACTTGATCAAATCGGCCGCAGCGCTGGATATTTTAAAGGTACAAATAAGTCTGCGATAAAACGAGAGACCCAGATACTGCACATTCTTAATTATTTACACTGAATTGTGTTCAACATCAATAGGCGTCGTACAAAAGGTGTAAACAAGCCCAGATTGTGGAGAATTTATCATTGCCATGTTGGGCCATTGGCCAGGTTGCTCATTCAGTGCTTGTGGCCCCAGGTGGGAAAACATGTATTTGCGCTGCACTCTCAAAATCTGCTCTGGAATCTTCAATGGCAACGTGAGAGGAGCTGCCTAACTTGGCGTCCGTCACTCTAGCAGGCGTACGCACTGAGGTAGGGCCGTGTGTGTGGGTCCGTCTGGCACCAACGTTCTCTCATCTGAGGTCATGGGGCTTCTGGCAGGAATTTGGCTCAGCCCCATCATCCTTTTGAGGTCGCCAAAATAGGCACCTGACTTGTTTCAACACCAAGTAGGAAGTCAAAATTGGTTGTCCTCTCTTTGGAATGTGGAATTCTCCCACCAGTGGCTCTGGACCACCAGGAAAGACAAAACACTGCCAAACGGTTATTTGTTCATGGGATAACTTGAATGTTTTTTTTCCCTCTGCCACAGTGGGGGGGGATGGTCAGCATGCTGGCCTTGCAATTCAGAGATCGCCGTCGGTTCAACATCCCGGCGCGGCGGCCGAAATAAATGTGCATGTTTCTGTAACCCCTCCGCCCTGTCCACTAAGCAGCGTAAGTCGGCACATCACAGTGAAGTCGATCGACAGGTCACGTGTGGTGAGCTAAAGCGGAGGTGCTTGTCCCTGTCTGGTCAGTGTGGAAGAGTTCGCTGGAATAACCTACAGTGGCGTAAGCAGGCGATTGCACGGCTGCATTATTTGCCTTTTTAAATTTTGAGACCCAGTTGAAGATGCAACTGCAGTGGCATTAAATGTGTCGTTAAACCGGCCGGTTTTCGGTTTGTCACGTAAACAAAACGTGCCAATTTCTACTACTTCAGTACACCGGTGTGTTGTCGAGTAAACCCACAACATTGTGTGTTAACTGTGAATAACCCAAGCAATAATCACTGCATATATTCTCAGATTAATATGACCAATTGTAACTTACAGTGAGGGAAAAAACTATTTAATCCCCTGCTGATTTTGTACGTTTGCCTAGTGACAAAGAAATTATCAATCTATAATTTTAATGGTAGGTTTATTTGAACAGTGAGAGACAGAATAACAAAAAAATCCAGAAAACCACATGTCAAAAATGTTATAAATTGATTTGCATTTTAATGAGGGAAATAAGTATTTGACCCCCTCTCAATCAGAAAGATTTCTGGCTCCCAGGTGTCTTTTATACAGGTAACGAGCTGCGATTAGGAGCACACTCTTAAAGGGAGTGCTCCTAATCTCAGCTTACCTGTATAAAAGACACCTGTCCACAGAAGTAATCAATCAGATTCCAAACTCTCCACCATGGCCAAGACCAAACAGTTCTCCAAGGATGTCAGGGACAAGATTGTAGACCTACACAAGGCTGGAATGGGCTACAAGACCATTGCCAAGCAGCTTGGTGAGAAGGTGACAACAGTTGGTGGGATTATTCGCAAATGGAGGAAACACAACAGAACTGTAAATCTCCCTCGGTCTGGGGCTCCATGCAAGATCTCACCTCGTGGAGTTGCAATGATCATGAGAACGGTGAGGAATCAGCCCAGAACTACACGGGAGGATCTTGTCAATGATCTCAAGGCAGCTGGGACCATAGTCACCAAGAAAACAATTGGTAACACACTGCGCCGTGAAGGACTGAAATCCTGCAGCGCCCGCAAGGTCCCCCTGCTCAAGAAAGCACATATATATGCCCGTCTGAAGTTTGCCAATGAATATCTGAATGATTCAGAGGACAACTGGGTGAAAGTGTTGTGGTCAGATGAGACCAAAATGGAGCTCTTTGGCATTAACTCAACTCGCCGTGTTTGGAGGAGGAGGAATGCTGCCTATGACCCCAAGAACACCATCCCCACCGTCAAACATGGAGGTGGAAACATGCTTTGTGGGTGTTTTTCTGCTAAGGGGACAGGACAACTTCACCGCATCAAAGGGACGATGGACGGGGCCATGTACCATCAAATCTTGGGTGAGAACCTCCTTCCCTCAGCCAGGGCATTGAAAATGGGTCGTGGATGGGTATTCCAGCATGACATTGACCTAAAACACACGGCCAAGGCAACAAAGGAGTGGCTCAAGAAGAAGCACATTAAGGTCCTGGAGTGGCCTAGCCAGTATCCAGACCTTAATCCCACGTAAAATCTGTGGAGGGAGCTGAAGATTCGAGTTGCCAACCGTCAGCCTCGAAACCTTAATGACTTGGAGATCTGCAAAGAGGAGTGGGACAAAATCCCTCCTGAGATGTGTGCAAACCTGGTGGCCAACTGCAAGAAACGTCTGACCTCTGTGATTGCCAACAAGGGTTTTGCCACCAAGTACTAAGTCATGTTTTGCAGAGGGGTCAAATACTTATTTCCCTCATTAAAATGCTAATCAATTTATAACATTTTTGACATGCGTTTATCTGGATTTTTTTGTTGGTTTTCTGTCTCTCACTGTTCAAATAAACCTACCATTAAAATTATAGACTGATAATTTCTTCGTCAATGGGCAAACATACAAAATCAGCAGGGGATCAAATACTTTTTTACCTCACTGTACATGACTACATTAAGCCGATAGGCCCACAGTGATGACATGAGACCGAAACAGGGCGACTTCTTCACAACTCTGGCTATCGCCTGATGAGTCTGGTTGTTGTAATCACCAGCGAAACATCACGGTACTCGAGTTGTAAATGTTGTGGCTTTACTCTCCAACACACTGGTGTGCTGAAGTAGTCGCCAATTGGCACGTTTTGTTTACGTGACAAACCTTACTAATTGTCTATTGTCGGGTGGTGGTGGGTTTTCTGACATTCATATTTACGTGATCTAACCCACAAAAAAACACCTTTATTACAGATATTGGTCACGAAGCCCACCATTCCGTGTGAAACTGCATGGCGGGGAGCCCCTTGGTGCGGATGGTCCTGTCATAACGGTGCAAGAGTCGTTGCTCAGCGGCGAGCACCCCGCGTGCAGGCAAAAAAACACAACAGATGGGGACATGGAAAAAGATGTGCTCATTATAATTTTAATGTTTCACAATGAGCAAGAAACATACTGATGATGTCATTTTTTTCAGAGAAATAAGCTCAAATACATTCTACAATAAACCAGTTTTTTGACAACGACAAGTTTGCGACAAATTAAAAAAGAAGTGTATATCTCTGCACGTTATGTTAGTGAGTGTATTATAGTACAGCTCATTCTCATCGACAGTACAGTAACAAAAACTATTAAGACTACGTTCCGTAATAGAAAACATCAACAGCTTTTTTTGGTTTAGTCTGCATTTTATAGTTACAGCTATTGATTAAATAAGCAAAATCATCAAGGGTATTGTGTACAAAGGTAACAAAAGTATGAGGGGACACGGGCTTCAGCTGTCAAGGAATATATGCACTCTGCATTAACTCGTTTTTCAATAACAACCAAATTGTATTTATACGTCCTATGTTTAACGTGGCACAATCCCACACGCTACAAGTCCTTCGGAACTTTTTGGCTTTAAAAAAAAAAAATTGTGAATTAAAGCATTTTTCGTGCTAATGTAGTTTTTTTTTTTAGTAAAGTTTAGTGTTGATACCGTGGACTTAAGAGGTTAGGTCTTGGTACGATCTGCCCAGCAGTCAATTCTGACAAAAAAACACACACAGACCTGGAGAACACCATACAATCATGCAACATTTAAAGTGATGGCATTTGATATTCACTCTGAAAAACAATATCAATATTTGCAGTGTTGGTTATAAACAAATTATGAAAACAGCATCTCAAAAACATCGGAAAAAAGAGCTAAAAGATCCAGTGGAAAGCATTGTCAAATGTGCATCTGTTGTGAACCTTCGTTTAAATGCTACAGTTTCAGCTTTGATGTTTACGAAACAGAATTCCTCGACTGAATAATAAAACACAGGGAGACAGACACGACAGCGAAACAATGAACACCAAAGAAAGAAAATTCCATCGCACACTTCTTTAGTCGAACAGTAATGGGGGGAGGGGGTAATTTATCTTCAAAGCCATGTTTAGCTGTGCAAAAAAGATGAAATTAATGTCATGCTTTTGTACATAGTACGGAAAGCTAAGTGTTTTATTTCCACTGACTGCAAAAGAAATATATACAGCACGGGTGTAAAAAAATGCTAAAAGTAAAAATCAAAGTCAATTTTTTTTTGTCTTTCTCGTACGTTATTTTTTAAAGAACATGTTGGGTAGACAGATGATGATAAAACACCGGTTTGGAATGAATGTGGATAACATCCTTTTGCTAGCATACTTCAAAGATATTCACAGTCACGGGCATGAGCGTGCGCCATACAAAGAGAAGCCACCACCACCACCAGCATCACCACCACAGAGCGCGCGGCGGTCTCCGTGATCGGCGCCTCTCGCGCCCCCGCTGCGTGCAGCCACTTGAGGTGTGTACACAAAACAACAACAACAACAACGACGGACCCGGAACCACAAGCAAAATAGCAGCACAAGGATGGGGAGCTGTTAAGTCGACTGAAAAATGAGACTGCTGTTCCGTCTATTAACTGGCAGTGTTAAATTAAAGTTTGCTGCGGAAAGTTTTTCCGTCTGTAAATTTTTTTTTTTTACATTTTCACTTTGCTTCACCTGTACTTAATGCATGATATCACCGTATTTAAAATTGTTACGTTTTAACATTTCAGAGCACCATCTTTGTTTGCGAGGGCAAACAAAGATGGCGGCGTCACCACCCCTCTCGACAACATTTTGTTTGTTCGTATTTTTGTCCTTTTCCAAAAAAAGAGCCGACTTCAAGTACACCAACACCTATTTCGTTTATGCACCAAGTTACGTCTTTGGATCATTAAAAGGGGAACAAAACTACGATGGGAAAGAGGAAATAGGTGCGGCGCTAAAGCTCGCCCCTGCCCCCTCCCCCCAAAAAAAAACAAAACGACAGTGCTAGTTTTAAACGTAAAAGATTAATATTTTAAATAAAGAATATAACGAGCTATCATCGTCATGATCATCATCACCATCATCACCAATAGTAGAGCTGAAGAAGTGCTGCGGTAAAAGGTATGCAAAATAAATGGAATAAAGAAATTAAAACAGCCACTTAGGAAACATCACATCCCCTAAACGTCACATGTCCGATCACACGACGTCCACCACCCGAGCGGCTACAAAAACTACGGTACCGTGTTAGCTGTATCATCAATATCGGGCGTTCAGATAGAGAGAGAGAGGTGAAGGAGGAACGGGGAAATTAACATTGGCACAAATTTACACAATTCGATTTCTTTGCCTCCATCTCGCACATTAAAAAAGGAAAACAAAATGTCCACGACACGAAGACATAGCAGTTGTGAAACATTATAAATGTGTACACAGGTATCACTGTACTTGTGTAATAACTCCATAGTAACAAACTATCCAACATCAAAACAGTACTCATTTTATTATAAATACAGGAGAGCTACTTTTTTTTACTTTTTTTAAATTCTCATCTTAATGTTGTTAAGCTCTACCGTAACAGAAGACCTACAAGAGAGTAAAGATCTATTTTATTTTTAAGAACCCCATTAAGAAGAGTTGCTTTTGCTTGTTATGGACAAGTCAACTCATGAGAAGAGAAATCAAAAGCTTTTTAAACTTGAACTAAGTGTGAGCTACTGACCTGAGATATACAGACACAGATTCATAGCTAGCCATTGGTATAGTTCATGATTAGTTAGGCAAAGAATGTTGCTGGATCATTATCCCCATATAACACATGCTAGCGGGATGCGCTCGTCAGTTGTGCCGTTCGCCCCACCGCGCGCCCACCGCCCATGCCCCCACGCCCCCCCCGTGACCTCTCCGAGTATTTGGCTTTTTGAACCCCCTTCGAAGCGCCGTCACAATGCACCTCAGCAGAAATGTTCCAAACTTTTTTTTAAAGTTTTGTTTTTCTTTTCTTTTGCCGTTTTAAAAGTAGAGCACAAAATAAAAACAAAGTGTCAAATAAAAACGTAACAGCAACTGTGCCTTTTTTGACCATTTATAAACACACACAATTAGAAACTATTCCTCAAGCCAGCATATCAATATGGGAAGAACAATCCGAAGTCAAATTATTTTTGGTTTTGATTAGGAGCTTTGGAATAGTAGTTAGTAGTAATTGGTTTTTGACTGTTGATAAAACCCTTCCCATTCATTATTATTATTTTATTATTATTGAGGATCCAGAGGATCTCATTAATATTATTATTACTGTCGATAATAATAATATCGTCATTATTATCGCCATCACCGCTACCACCACCACCATCGTCGTCATCATCATCATTTATCTTCATCATATAAATAACACACACAATAAAACCCTCCCTTCCCCATGGCTAGGCTACACGCGAAGGAAGTCCGTGGCAAGCTGCGCACTACCCGTGCTCCCGCTGTCCAGGGGGGCCACCGCCCGGGGGGCCCTGCTCCCCGCGGGCCGCTCGGAGTCCTCCGATGCACGGCTCAGCTCGCTCTCAGACTCGTCCGAGCAGCTGTCCCAAGGAGGGGGCGAAGTCTGGACCCCTGAGGCTCTGCGGGATGACGCTGAGGTAACCGTCGACGCGCCGAGGGGGAGGGCGGCGGCGGCGCCGCCATTTCCGCGGGGCGCGGGCTCGTTCTGCAGCGCGGAGGAGGACGAGGAGGAGGAGAGCGATCGGTTTCCATCGGCTGGGTGAGTGGCGTCCGTCTGCGAGGTAGATGCTGCGTCATGATCGGGATCGCGTGCGGAGTGAGGTAATACTCGGGCGTGCTCTTTGGCGTATTGGGCGGCGCGCCGGGCGGAACGCTGCCGGTGCTCGCCGGAGCGCAGGTGGCGGGCGAGCGACTCGCGGCCGCTCAGTGTCGCGTCGCAGGCCAGGCAGCAGTGGATGTCGTCGGTGGGCGGTACGCGCACCAGCGTCTCCCTGGCGCTGGCGGGCCTCTGCCCGGCGTAGCAGAGCGAGCGCTGGTGCGCGAGCGCCGAGACCTCGTCGCCAAAAACCGCCTGGCACTTCCGGCACGCCACCCCAGGCTTCCCCGTCACCACCGTTACCACGTATATATCCAGCGAATCTGTGCCTTTGCTCTCAGTCAGCCTCGGCTTGTCGCCCCGTTCGTGCTCTCCTATGGACGGCTCCTTCCGTTGCTCCACTGCGTTCTGTACCACAACCCCAGGCGAGCCAAGCTGCTGCTGCTGCCTCTGCTGCTGTTGCTGCTGCTGTTGTTGCTGCTGTTGCTGCTGCTGCTGTTGTTGCTGCTGCTGCTGTTGCTGCTGCTGCTGCTGCTGTTGTTGCTGCTGCTGCTGCTGTTGTTGCTGCTGCTGCTGCTGTTGCTGATGGCTGAGAGCATCTTGCAAACTTTGCTGATATTGCTGATACTGCTGCAGCAGCGACCCCGGCGAGAGGCCCGCCGCCACGGCCTGCGAGAGGGCTGCGTTGTACGGGAAAAAGCTCGTCTCCATGCCGAAAAAGGGCGGCAGGTAACCCGGCGGCAGGCCCGTGGCGGCCGACGTGGGGATCTGCTGCGTGTAGTACGGTGGGATTCCCGACATGATGTAGGGCAGGAACTGTCCGCCCAGCAGCGCTGCTGGGTCGACCGCTAGGGCGGCCTGCAGGGCCTGCAGCTGGGCGGGGTCCATGCCGCCGCCGCCAGCGCCGACGCTTCCTTCGTGGGCCGTCTGCGCCGCCGACGTCGACGCGACCGCCCCGCTCGTGCTGGGAAATTCGCTTTTCACTTTGCTCTCAAGGTTTCTGTCCTTTCGTGCCACATGCTCATGCACCTTCTCCTTGCCTTTCTCTGCAAGTTGCTCCTTCTCGAGCCTGGGGTGAGGCTTCGTGGTCGTGGCTGCGACCGTCAAGGTGTTCGACGTCTGGGGGTCGGGGCTCTTCAGCGGCTTTCCGGCGTTTACGGGCAGCGGCAGACCAGGAGAAGGGATGCCGGCAGTGGGCAGGCTGAGCACGCCGGCACCCGGCGCTGTCAGAGCTGCAAAGGTCAACGTGTTTGCATTAATGCACAAACAGCATTCATGAGCGTGCACAATACCAGTGAAGGCACAAATCTATGCTGATGAGCGCCCCCCATATACAATGAGATCATAGCTTTGCGGTGCAAATTCCCGTCCCTTTGCCGTACGCCGACAGCGACAATTGAGACGCACAAGTGGCGAATACCTCGGTAAATATAGAGCGTTATAATATTCACAAGAAAGCTGGTTCGCACCTGCGGTGATGATGGGAATCATAACGGCAATGGGAAAAAAAGTGCTCGCACTCACCCGAGGATACTGGGGGGAACCCTGGGAGGGACGAGTGGCCGGCCATGCCCGGCAGGAGCATGGGAGGCAGGCCGGGGTAGGAGGAGGCGGCTGCAGCGAGGTTCATGGCCTGCATCTGCGAACCGTCGAACCCTCCCTGCTGCTGCTGCGCCGAGGAGATGCCGAGCGCTTCGTTTGCCTTCTTGATGCGGTCGAACTCCTGCTGCGCCATGAGCTGCCGGACGGTCGAGGGGTCCAGGTATTCCTTCTCACGGTCGAGCTGGCTGCCCACGCTCTCCCGCACCTTGTCGATGTGGGAGATGGCGAACACGTGGTCCCTCACCGTCAGCCGGGGCCCGTACTTGACGCCGCAGATGGTGCACTCCATTTTGGGGCTGTCGTACTCGGGCTGGTCGATGCCGTACTGCTTGGCGAGGCTCAGCTTGGACTTCTTCTCCTTGGCACGGGCGTTCTGGAACCAAACCTGGACCACGCGCTTCGGCAGTCCGATCTCATTGCCGAGGATTTCGCATTCTTGCATGGTCGGCGTGCGATAATCATTGAAGCAGACCTTGAGGACCTTCAACTGCAAGTTGGACATCTGGGTGCGGAAGCGTTTCAAGCCTGGCCTGTCTCCGCTATAAGACATTCCAGATGTCTTCGCTGTTGAGGAACCGCTGTTGCTCTGAACGCTGGGGGAGCCCGGGTCTGCTATGCTGGAGGTCTCGCTGTGATCCACAATGCCTTCGTTGTCATTGTCCCGAGCACTGTAGCTCATGCCAGGGCTCACTAGACCTGCCCAGGACCTGTCATCGCTCCCTTGATCGCTGGTCGGAGTGGCTATCGATTGCTGTTGTGCGTCGCCACGTGCCGATGACTTCATGTCACTCAGCAGCCCAGAGTTGCTGTCTGTGTCATTATGTCCTTCGTCTCCTGTGGTGTTGTCCGTGATGGCCGTGTTAATAGAAGAGCAGTCGTCATTGTCGATCTTCCCGTGATCGAAACTCGTGTGAGTGGAAGAAAGAGTTGGACTCTCGATATCGTCCATGCCCTCGACCTTCACTGACCCGGGGCTGAGGTTCGACCCCGGTGATAAATCAGAGGATTTGTTCAGCATGGACGTTGACTCGTGCGAAGCCATGAAGTCGGACATCATTTTATACGGTTGTGAGGTGCCCAGGTCATGCTGATCCATTGACCCGTCGTCTAACAGTTGCTGCATCTGAGCAGAAGATTCTGCTTCCTGGGAGGATGGCAAAGGGCCGAGGTTGTACCCGGCCCGCTTGGCCTCGTGCCAATGTCGTGAGCGAATGTGGGCCTCGAGCGCCGTTCGTGCTTTGAACAGAGCTCGGCAAAATGGACACCGCCGGTGAACCTGTGCGGGGCCCACGGCCCTGAAATGTCCCTTTCTCTCGCGCGCTCTGGTATTCTGAAACCAGACCTGCACCACGCGTTTCTTCAGCCCAACTTCGTGCGCAATGTGATCCAACATTTTACGAGTAGGATTCGAATCGAGCAGATATTTCTGGTATAATATCTCGAGCTGCTCCGGAGTGATCGTGGTTCTGAGTCGCTTATCCCTCGGTTGGTCTTCGGAGTTGTTTAAGCTGTTTGTGGACGCGTCAGCATCTCCGAGGCTTCCCCCTGGCTTTTCGTCCAGCTTCCGTTTGAGGGCACCGCTCGCAGATGTTGACAAGGTGGGAGAGGACGCCGACTGGGAGGATGACTGCGCAGAGCTCAGGTTTGTCGTCTGCATAAATTGCCCTCCCATGAGCGGATTCGTCGGGTCAAATAACAGCAGCGGCATGTCAAGTCCCGGCGGCCGCTGGTCGATCAGCTGCGAATGCAAGAAGTGGCCAGGTGGGGCAAGATAATGCAGTCGCTGGTGCTCCTGCCAGAGCTCAAAGCTGGGAAGAACCATCTTGCACTGTTCGCACTGGTAGTTCATTGGCATCTGGGACTGCGATGAGGTCGGTAGTTGAAAAGGGTTTTGGGCGAATGTGGACGACTGAGTCGGTGTTAAAGACTCGGAGGCAGGCTGTGCTGGTCGCTTCAACGGAGGTTGCTGTTGCTGCAGTTGCTGAGGCAGGGAAGTTTCTGCTCGCTTTGGTTTCTCTTCTCTTTCTTCTTTGGGTTCAGGATTAACGTGTGGGGCCTTGACCCGAGGTTCAGCCTTCGTCTCTTTGTCTTTTTCTAGCACGTTGGGACTCGGAGGAGTTGCCGATGTTTGACCCGGAGTCCCAGAACTGGATGCGTACTGATGCTGAGATCCTTGATCCACGCCATCAATGGAATCATCTGCCTGACTGTCCAAAGCAGCTTCCTCTTCCTCGTCCCTGTAGCAGTGCCTCTTCTGGTGCGTTATGAGGTCAAAGATGCGCTGAAACACCACCTCGCACTTCTTGCACTGGTAGCTCATGTTCCCCGTGCGGATATACCGCTCACTGCCCGGCTCCTTCCGCTCAACTTGCTCCTTGCCGTCGCCCTGATTCTCGTAATTCTTCCGGGCTTTCTGTCGCGCGTTTTGGAACCAAACAACGATGACGCGCGTCGGAAGGTTCAGCAGCGTCGATAGCTGTTCGATCTCGTCGTCTTTTGGGTACGCGTTTGCATCGAAGAAATCCTGCAAAACTCTCAGCTGATAGTCAGAGAATCGAGTTCTCGAGGAACGTCTGCTGGAAGATTGGTCTGATTTTACTGACTCGGGTGTCTGTGGTTGTGACTCCATGATCTTCAGCTCCTCCAGTGAGGTCGTGGGAGGATTGCTGAAGTTGTACGGGGAATCTTTGTTTCTCTGTCGCTCCTTGAACAACGTATTTCGGAACCAATGCTTAATGACCTTAGGCGGTAGACAGGACCTTTCGGACATTTCCTGTATCTGCTCATCGCTAGGAGAATTGTTGATATTGAAATGAGCACGCAAGATGCGCAGCTGATCGTCCGTAATTCGTGTGCGTGGCCGTTTGTTCTGCTGCTGCATGAAGTTGGCGTCCAGCTGCTGCTGGTAGAACTGAGCTAGCTCGGCACTCAGAGCCTCCACCGATGTTGCTGCGGATTGTGTGAGGCCGGGAGGAAGTTGCAAGGACTGCATCATGAGAGGAGAGAACAGTGGCATGTCCAGAGGCGGTGGCACAAGGCTGACTTGATTTTGTGTTGGCTGAGGAGTGGTTGATAGTTGTGGCGCCATTGTAGGAAGCTTTGGGGACTGCTGTGGTTGTTGTTGGTGTTGCTGCTGTTGTTGCTGCTGTTGTTGCTGCTGCTGTTGTTGCTGCTGTTGTTGCTGCTGTTGTTGCTGCTGTTGTTGCTGCTGCTGTTGCTGCTGTTGTTGCTGCTGCTGCTGATGTTGGTGCTGCTGTAGAGGTAGAGGAGAAGGAGCAGGCAAAGCTGACTGAGGTTGAGGCTGTGGCGGCTGAGGTGGTGGCTGCTGCTGCTGCGGCTGCATTTGGGACTGAGGCTGGTGCTGCAACGGGGTCTGCGCTTGGGGCTGCGGCTGAGGCTGTGCATTTGCGGGTGGGGGAGGGAGCGGGGGCAGGGCGAGGGGCTCGGAGAGCATCGTCTCCATTGGGTACACCTTGTCGTACGTCGAGCGGTACTGGCTCGCGTATTTCTCCAGGTCGGCGAAGGGCAAAAACTGTCCATGGATATGCTCCTGGTGGCTCTTGAGGATGAGAACGTGCGAAAAGAGTTTTCCACACGTCGTGCACTCGAGCCTTTCGAGTGCTTCGCCGTTGTCACCGTTGCGGCCGCGTCTCTGGGTCCGTCCCCGGTTCTCGTTGAACTGGATCACCAGCTCGAAGCCGAAGTTCTCCAGCAGCGCCCGTGTGGCGTTGCCGCGGCAGCCAAAAGGGATGCGAGGGGGCGGCATGTTGGAGTCCGAATGGCTCAGCTTTAAAACAGCCCTAATCTCGGATTGCGATCTGGCTTTTGTTTCTAAAAACTCTTTTTCATCCAACTGTTCGTGCCTCTCCTCAGCTTGTTTCAGATTTATTGGCTGAGTGTCATCTTGCGATGAATAATGCATTATCTCGGAATCTTCCTTCACAATTTGCATCTTATGCTGCTGCTGCTGCTGTTGCTGCTGCTGCTGCAGGTGTTCCAGCTGCCTGTGCTGCTGCTCCAAACACTGCTGCTCAAGATCCTGTTGTTGTTGTTTTTGGTCTTGCTGCATTTGTTGTAGCTGCTGCTGCTGTTGCTGCTGTTGCTGCTTCTGAGCTTGGTGCTTGAGCTCACCCAGCACGGCGCTGGCAGGCCCCGGCATGGCGACCGACGCAGACATGGGCAGCCCGAGGTCGGCGGGGTTGAATTGGAACTCGGTTCCTGGGATGTAAAAGGGCAGCAGGAACTGCTGTTGTTGCTGCAGCTGCAGCAGGGCGTCTGGCGAGAAAGGAAAGTGCGGGAAAAATGCAGGGTTGAAAAGCTGAGACTGCAGCAGGGCCGCCTGCTGCTGAAACTCCAGCTGGGCCTGTGCTTGTGCCTGCAGCTGTGCCTGGGCGTGCGCCGCCTGCAGCTGTGCCTGCACCTGCACCTGAAACTGGGCCTGCATATGTGCTTGGGCCTGGGCTTGCATTGTTGACTGCACGGTCTGCTGCTGCTGCTGCTGCTTCTGCTTCATGCTCGATCCCTCAGATGACCGTTTCTTGTTCAGCTCCTTCTGCTCCATGGAGGACGATGAAGAACTTGCGGTGGCGCTGCTGCCGCCGGCGCCGATGCTGCCTCCGCCGCCGCCACCGCCGCCACCACTACTGCTCTTGCTTGCGCCGCTGCTGCCGGTGGTGGCAGCGTTTGCCGCACCCCCGGCAGTCACGTCAGGCGCGGCCGACTTGCTGGAACTCGCAGTCGTCGCGCTGCCACTGCTGCCCGATCCGCTGCCACTCGCCGCCTCCAACTTGGCCGCCCTCGCCCGGGTCTGGTGCAGGACCGACCTCATGTGGATCTCCAGCGTTGAGCTCTGACTGTAGGCCACGTTGCAGGTCATGCACTTGTAGGGCTTGTTGTCAATCCCGTTGGCCGGTTCTGACCGCTCGCCTCCGGAGCCGGGGCTCGACGATTCCTGCAGGGCCTTCTTCAGGCGGTGCAGGTGCGAGACGGAGTTGTAGTGCACCAAGAGAATGTTCTTCTGGGTGAAGGACTCTTTGCAGACGGTGCACTTGTACGGCCGCGAGGGGTCCAGAAACTTCTCCATGGCAAAGCTGGTGCACTTGCGGGGAATCACAGCTCGCTTGGCCTCCATCGTGGGGTCCTCCTGGCCGAAGATCCCTCCGTCGCTTCCCGTGGGGCTCTGCTTCCCGTCGGGGTCGCTGTCCTCATCTTTGTCCGCCTCTGCCGGGAGGGAGAGCTCCTCCTCCGTCTCGGGTAGCGACTTGAAGTCGCCATTGGCGATCTGCAGGCTTCCACAGAGCTGCTGCACCTGGATGTCGGCCAGCTCCGGGTGGCTGCTCTCCAGGTGCTTGCGCAACGCGGGGATGGAGCGGAAGCTGCGTTGGCAGAGGGCGCATGCGGTGGCGGCGCGGATGACGTGGTACTGCAGGTGCGCCTGCAGCCGCTCGGGTGTCTTGAAGGCAAGGCTGCACTGCGGGCACCGGTGCTTGTACACGTGCCGGTCGGACACGGGCAACTGCACCCGCTTCGTCACGGAGTCTCCCGCCAAGGAACCTTGCGTCGCGCCCGCGACCCTCGCATTGCTTTGCTGCTCTTCCTTTTTGTCGTCTTTGTTCGTGGTCTGCTCGCCGGACCGCTCCGTGGCATTTTCTGACAATTCGCGCGAGGTGCCAGCCCTCTCGTAGTCTTCCTTATTGCCTGCGGACAGCAGTAGCAGCATCAGCAAAAAAAAAGTTGCACCAGAAATGAAAACTACTGTCTAGTATGAGATCAAGACGAGCTAAAAAACATTGCACATTTTCATAACCAGACTGACCTTACGATGCTGGAAACTACATTTATGGCTTCATTTTGTATGCACACACCAAGGTCGTCTCTGTTCATCCCATTAATTTTTCACTACACGAGTCACCTTTTCCATTAGTGACAGTGACTGCATAAAATGACCTCGCATTAAAAATTAATGCAGGTGGACGTGGGAGTAATTGCATTTTAAACTGAGCGATGGATAATGCAGTAGGCAAGTTTGTTTTCAGCGGCTGGTTCCCAAAACATTTTGGTTCCTGTTGCACCCAATTTTCGTTGCTTAATTAGAATGCACAGTATTACAATGTACTCCCGTCTTTTTACCTCTGTATGTCAAATTAAACATAAAATGTAATTGGAATATATTTTAGACGAATTAATAATTGTTCAAAAGAATGCAACGTTACGCTGAATTAAATCAAATTAATGTTATTTCCAGACAGGAGTACAATTCTAGAGTAAGGTAGATTCAAGTTATTGCTTCCAATTGTCATTATTTTATTGCAATCTCAGAGCTGCGGTCTTATGAAAATTAAAACCTCGGAGCTACATCCGAATTTTAGCCTCAAGTTAATTCAAAATTTTGAGGCATTATTTAAAATGCCAATGGCTTTTGTGAGGCTGAACAAATTTTCTAAGTGCGGGGGCCTCTCTCAGAAAAGGGGGGGGGACACCTTACCCAAGGATTTTGTCGAGTCCTCGGCAACGACTCTCAAGGTGCTGTTGTGTTGGTGGCCATCGCCCTCCGACGCCCCGGCAGGCAGGAACGCAGAACTCGGTACCATCATCTCCGGTGACGACATCTAAAGGCGCCGAGCGGCAGAAAGCGGCATCGTTAGCGGCGGCCGCAGTGAGCCGCTAACCACCGCCGCCACCGCCGCCGGGTAGTGAACACCACGTGGTTCCCTCCATTCACCAAAACTTGCAAACCGACTCCCCCCACTCCGCGCCCCCCCCCCCTCCTCACGCTATTCTACATCTCCGCGCAATTTCGACGACTTAGCGGACGGCGACGGCACAAACCGTCACAGAAATAACACAAACGCCATCGTGCACTAATGGCACAAGTGGCTGTGAGGTGGTGGTGGTGGTGGTGGGGAGGAGAGAAAAAACCTCCACCGGCGTGGCATAGCGCGGTTTCACGTCACCGTGTTTGGCTCGCCTTCCCTCGTCTCTCCCCGCCCGCCTCTGCCAGGGCCATGCTGTTTGGCTACGCGCGCTCAATTAGCCACCTCGCCAAGAAGCAGTGCTCAATGGGGGAAAAAGCAGAATAATGGAGGGCTCTTAATTAAAGGCACACATTAAACATGGAGCCCCTGACACAGCCTCCAGTTCCTGAGCCACATTCTGGATCCTTTAAATGAGACGATAAAAATTGCTGCTCTTGTCAAAAAAAGAAGGCTAATTGTGCTTTAAGGTTATGTGAGAAACTGTGCAAAAGGTGAGCTGCATCGTTTTGACTGTAGCCAGCACGGGGTACTTGTGTTACAAAGCTGTTTATTGGAAATTTGACATCCATCGCCATGCTTGGACTACAAATGGGTTATGTTGTTGTTGTAACATTAGCTGATTCAATTTGGGTTTTATGCACTGTCGCTTGTGAATAAATGCAACCATCATCCATTCTCTATCCACACTGCTCAGCCTCCACGTCTGCGCACTTTTCCGTCGTCCCGTAAGTCTTCTTGTCAATTACTTGTTACGCCTTTTGCAGTTTTCACAGCCCATGGCTCAGATTTTGTTTGTCCGAAGTTATTATTTTTCTCTCGCAGTTTCTGTCTCTGTGCAATGCTGAGTGTTTGATATTCACCCCTTGTGACACCTAAGTTGACAGTGACCGTATTTCTGGCTCAACGTGCGATGCTGCCCGAGAGTACAGATTTATTTGTCGGTGTTTCCACTTCAACACTTAATGCAGCATGCAAGGGTTGTTTATGTATTTATTTAAAAGGTGCCCCGGGTTGGTTCTGTTTAGGGTTGAATGTGATTTTATCTTCAAAACGCAAACGAAATTGGTTGAATCAAGCGAGTTGTGCATGCAGACCACACATCCTGATATTCGTTGCAAGTACTGAAAATGCTATGGCAGAAGAATAATCGTGGGTGCTTCATTTTCTCTACTGTTTAATATCGCTGGCATTTAAGCATTAATGCGCTCGATAGTGAGAGATCTACAGGGTGTCCAATAAGTCAGGAATCGTAGGGAAAAATAACTCATTCATATTTCCCTGGTCATTGGATAGGACGTCGAGGGCCTGTGGAATGGCCAGCGGGAAGCCACAATCTCACACCACTGGATTTTTATCTCTCGGGTCACTTGAAGGCGCTGGCCAACACGGAGAAAATTCCGAATGAACATTTGCAGCAGCGCATTATTGACGCATGTAACACCATTTTACCCCTAATACCATTTACTGTGTGCTTGCTGACTGGGTATCTCGTCTGGAGTTGTGTATCAGGAATAAATGTGGACACATTGCGCACGTTCTGTGAATAAAAGCGCTATTATTGCCTTTTTTGTATTATTTTTCCTATGATTCCAGACTTATGGGACACCCTACTGAGAATCGGGCTATAGTCTGAGAATCGGGCTATATTCTCACTTCTACCAAACATCAATGGTGTGCACCCCACAGGGGAGCCCTGCACCTCCCAGTTCGAAACCCAGTCGGCACAATATTATAATGATTCTAGAACAGAATATATCTCATATAGTTAGCAAATAATAAATGCATGTGTGGGTAGGGGGATGGGTATTTTACTTAAAATATTAATATTTTTTCCGAGCAAATATCAAACCAGGAACATTGATTTTCATTCTATGGCACTAAAACTGCGTGAAACATGGGAAGCTGGAATGGGTTTTTCATGTAAATTCTATACGATTGTGCCATTGACTGCAGTTTATAATCATTGTATTATCTGATTTTGTATTACTTAACTAATAAACGATTGTATAATAAGTTATCACTCTGTTATTTTATAATCAGATTCCTATAATTCAAATGAGATTATAATATGGTATGGGCTATTCATATTAAAATAGCTCAGAATTTAATTTGGGTCTGATTGGACTGGACACAACTGGATCTGGTCTGATCTAGGAAGGGAAGAGTCTGAGCTTCATTGAACTCGCCTAGATCCACGTCTTCCATTAGCTGGTGGAACAAGACTTTAAAGACGTGTATTCTACAACACGTTGTTTGGTGATGCTACGAATGGCAGTGATGCGCATGCACAAATAATAACTCAACACGTCCGTCAATAACACCGTGTGGCCATAAGAAAACAAATATGCAGGAGGCGACGTTAGGGCCAATGGCCCTGCTTAATGGCACATAAACAGAGAGGCCAGGGAGATGATGATAGCTGGAGAATTCACGACACAAGTGCACCATGGGGGGCCCCCTTATCCATCATTCTTCTTCACTCTCTCTGGCATGTGTTTCATGAAGAAGGACAATTGCCCGGAACATCACCGGTTTACATTTCTCTTTAAGGCCACGGTGTTGCTGACGAATGTGTTTGAGTATTTTTTTTTACTCTGCAACATTAATTTTGTTGCCTGGAAAGAGCCACTGCTCAAATTAGTAAATGCAGATGAGATCAAAGCACTTAAAAAGACCGTCACTATTTACCTCAGAATATGTGACGTTTCCTTTTAGGATCGTGTGGAGTTTCATATTTTTTAAAATTACAATATCTGAGTTTTAATTAATTGGATAAAATTTTCATATGTATAAGGAGAGATAATGTTTGCCTACCTTTTTGCCTAATTGGAATTAAACATTTTTTATATTTACGTGGCAGATGTGTGATGTCAGCAACTCCCAGGAAGCCAACATTGTCCACCGTTATACCCAGATGTTTATCGCTGCTGCCAACAGATAGACCGCCTCTGTAAAATATCTTCAAGAACAAACGTCTGGACGAATGCTCACGAAACGGCAAACGTAGAAGAGTCTTCAGTGATGACATCGTTGAGATGTCCTTCAGTGTAAAAACACGTGAAGATATCCACATGGTCGGCGGAATAAATTCTGCGGACTTATTATTTTAGGGGAGAATTTTAATTTATCGAGTTTCGGATATTAAAAATTGAAGACCCTTTGTTTGTAATGGTGTTCTTATAAAGGGGAGCACTTAATAGAAATGGGGAATGTTTATTAAATTATTTGCTTACTCTAATCATTAATATTCATTTTTAATATACTAAGGAGAAAGAGGGTTTATGAGTGCAGACTTAACAAATCTACGCATAATCCAGGATTAAAGAGCACATTCACATCTGTACTGGAATTAGGGCAATGCAATATACAGGACCAAACCTCCATCATACTCGCTTCTTAATAATCCCTTCTGCTACTATTATGGTATACTGCTGTGACCTTGGATGTCACCAAAATGAAAATAGAAATATTGGCTAATAGTTAATATTAATACGTCTAAAATGGAAAACAGAACTCAATAAACACAACGTGAATTGCTATATATATAACGCACACCATATATACACAAGTACTATATATGTAAATAAGAATAAACACACATACACGCCACATATATATGTACATAAGATATGACTATGTACCGCACTGAGATATATTCAATAGGAAACCATCCCAATAAAACAATGAACCTTTGTTCCACCCAAAACAAGTGTTGTTTAAAAAAATAATGTAAGCAACGTGCACACCACTGCTTTGATGGCAGCAGTTTAACTCGCTGTAACTTCACAGGGGCCCTCTGGTATCCTCATACACTGTTGGGGACCATGCGATTAGCAGGCACCGATTCACGGTTGTGTGCCACACACGGGAGCTCGGCAGCACCACGGTGTCGAGATGTTAACTACCTCGCCGGGTATACAGGAGGTCGTGGGTTCGATCCCGATCTTGACGCCTGCTATATATTTGGTCGCGTGGATTTTTCTGCGGGTCCTCCGGATTTTCCCTCCACATTTGGAAACACGCGTTTAAGAGTATTTGGCTCTAACTCACCACGTGCGAATCGACTTCGTTGAGCTAGCATTTGTGCTTGCCAGGTTACTTCTGAAAAACAGCTAATAACTCAGTGGGCCTTACCTGGTAAAAGAAAAATGTTTCGTTAAGTTTTGCTTTTATCTCTCCCCTGTTGCTGTGTACACCACACCCTGGAGTGAGGCACAGGCCGGGTCTGGATGTCAAATCGGCTTTCGTGATGAGAACGTCCAGGGGCTGAACTTAAGTCATGGGAACTGAAATGCAGCATTAGAAACATAATGCCACCGCTCCCTAGCACAGTGCGTGTGTGTAAATAAACATATACACACACGTATATATGTACACGTGTGTATATATATACACGTGTGTGTACTGTATATATACGTGTATATATACATATATACGTGTGTGTACTGTATATATACGCACGGAGAGCTGTCGTGTAGCGCTTAGCGCGCTGTGTTTTTAACCTGGAGACCTGAGTTTGATTCCCGCTCATGGCTCCCAACACCGGTGACGATTATCTGAACCGGTCCTGAGCTTCTCCTGAGGACCGGTTCTTTAAAACAGTTTTTTGATGTTTAGTTTGCTGTCATTCCCCCCGCACCTCCGATTAGCACGGTTGGCTACGTACGGTGCGAAAGAAGTTCAACGTACATACGAATCGATCCTGGGCCTCCCCTAGGTCGACTCAGCCTCAAATGAGTCTGGTGCGAGGTGCGAACATCGCCACTGGGGAGACAAAGGCGGCCACGCGTGGTGCTGACCGCCCACCCCCTCGTGTCCCATGCCGGCTTTCACAGGTGCTCGCTAACAGCACTTGTCCCAACAGTCTATTAAGGCTATACGGGGGTTCTTTGTATTTTTACACGAACATATATGCCACTATACTGGTGTATAATAAAGAACCTGGAATCAAGTCGAACAAAATACAGTGCTACAACATCCAAGTTCGTTTTTTGTCGTTTCTTTACATGATCTGCATGCATAAAGCACTAAATGCACAGTAATTAACTTCACATTCAGTGATTTAGCAGGTAACAGCTAAAATACTTCAAATCATTTTAGCGGCATCCAGAGGGTCTCATTCGGATATGAGAGTTGCTTCTTGGGTTTGTTTTAGAATCCAACGAAACCTCATTTACAAAATTATCCTCCAAAAAGATGGGGGTGAGTAACCGGGTGGGCAGACCAAAAAAAAAAAGAATGTATTTATGATAAACCTCTTAGCTGTACAGCGGTAATCCTCACAGGAAAAATAACATCGTAAAATGAATCAGTCATATATAAATTTTGACAATTTGCTGAATTTACACAAAGGTAATGGCATCACGAGGGCGATAACTTGTGTACAGATTAAGCAACTTAAAGGCACCTTGATGAGAAGGGAATCGTAAAACGGCTCGCCGGCCTGGCCGCCGGTGCGCTCCCCATCGCTGATGCGGTTAAAAAGAGCCACATATGGTGCATAATAGCTTTTTAATAAATGTCCTTGGCCGGCAGCGTGATGAGCCTCGGCCCTCGGTTCTGAAATGGCGCCTGTTGCCATGGTGCGGAGTGGGACGGGAGGCAGTGGCAGCACCTGCCTGCAGCCACGAGGGCGTTGGGGCGTTCGGCGCGTCAACGGCAGCCATCGCTCGTCGCCACGGAGAGACGCGGCCAGTCTACCGGGTCTCGTTCCCCTCCCTTAGCACCCCACCACACTCCGCTCACCACCCCCCCCGCCACGCTGACAACACCCTGACGTGGTGGGAATGCCGCGCCCGTCGACCAGAAATAAAGGCGGTCGGCTCGGTCGGTGAGTCTCACGAAGATTCGGCAAACGATGCGAGCCGACTGGGGGATCGAGAGGCCTGGGCAGCGCTGCGGTTCTGAGTGGCCATGTTCACGTGTTCACGGCGTTTCAGCATCATCTTATTGCATGCATGGGTTGCCTCACAGGCAAGCCATGCTCTCAAAGGAATTGGTCAAACATCCGAAGTAAGTTCTATTCTATCGGCTTTCGTGTATAGATTATTATTACCTTTCCTGGGGAACAATAGGTAATGTTTATGATTTTTTTTTTATTGGAACGTCTGCATCTTTGACCTAAACCAATGTGGATAGTGGTGTGTGCGTATCGGTGTTGACGCTGCACCTTCTCATCATGTGTAATTATCCCAACCCTGCGACGTTTTAAAAAAGCCACCCTAGCACAAGCCATGCATCGGCAGGTGTCATCATTGTGAAACAGCAGAGGCATTTGCGACAAAAAAAATAACCCCGCAGTACGAACCTTGAAAACAAATGGGGGGGCAGGTGGGTGGGGGGGCAGGTGGGTGGGCGGGCGGGCGGGCGGGGAGGACCAACTGCGCCAGAGGATAACCCGGAGTAATTTTAGAAAAGCAAAAAGAGCAAACACAGGTAAAAAAAAAACATCACCGATGCAATGATCTTGTCGACGCAGTCCGGGGCGACATTGTGCAGATGGGTGAGGTGCAGCTGCAGATGAACTTTGCTCCCGAGCAGGTCCTGGCAGAGCGGGCAGCGGAGCGCGGGCTGCACCGAGTGCTGAGACACCACGTGCACGCGGATGCGCGCCGCGTCGCCGCTCTGGTACGTGCAGTACGGACACTGGAACACCTGCGCCAAACGCGCGGCAAGGTTCACCGCATGGAGGGAGTGGGGGGGGGGGGGGCAGGAGGGGGGGGAACAGATAGGTAAATAATTAAATAGAAAATAAACGCAGGAAATACGTTTAGCGGCGCTCGCTGCATCGCAGCGGAGCACAAAACAAATCCACGCACGAAAAAAAATGACTGGAGGTATTTTTAGATATTTCAATTGCAGCCGCATTTTATTTTGACTCCCTGTCACGATTGTGATGGATTTCGTGGTGGTTTAGTGACACAAATGCTGTGAAATTGTGGGACAGAAAAAGTGACTTGCCCCAGGCACCTCTTTAAGATTGTTCGCTGGTGTGTATCTATATAAGGTAGAGGTAGA